TAACCAAATCTTACTCTGAAAGCTTAGCATGAACCAAGCAAGGTGGCCCAGGGATAGCATACTGCCCCAGCACGGCTGGGTCTGTATGCAAGGTCGGCTCAGTCCCAGGGTGACCTGTGCCTGCTGTGCTCACATGCCCACGATCCCGCTGGCCAGGAAGGCTGGGGGAGGGGCTGGTGGTGCAAGACCCGATGGCCGTGCTTGTCCTTCCCTCTCGCTCTCGCTTTCACTCTCACTCTGATGAGAGAAACGACCCACATAGGAAGCCTCGGCAGGTCGTGCTGCCGGAGCTGTGCTCTGCCTCTCCCAGGCGTGCCTTGTCTCAGCCCTGGCCTGAGACCTGAGACTGCTCCCTCACAGGCGCCTTCATGCTATGTGCATGGCAGTGCTGTTTGTGCCATCCCGAGCTGGTGACGGGATGCCTACTGCCTTGCACTCTTCCCAGAGCCAGACACGGGGCCCCGGAGTTGAGGCAGCTCAAGACGGAGGTAGGCTTTGCTCGCCAGGTGTGTGTCTGAATCTCTGCCAGGAGAGGCCTGACGAAGCAGCCACTGCTGGTCTGTGAGTTTGCCAGGGTGTTTCTAAAAATTCCCAGAAGACTAAGGAAGTGGCAAAGTGATCACAGAAGAGGCTAATGCAAAATCAGGGTCATCCACAGCCAGCCCAGAATTGCCAATGGCCATAAACTCTTGCTAGGAGGCCCTCTCTGTCCCCTAGACCAGCCTGCACCCCTGAGGGACAGACAGGTCCCTCAGGCTTTGTCCCCAGCCTCCTGCCAGCTCTTCCCACTCCTATGACTTTAGGCTTCTCTTCTAGAGGAAAGATGCCCAGCATAGTGGGTGCCCGGGTCCTGCACACTTTCTTTTCTCAGTTCCCATGGAGGCTGGATGCTCTATTGACAGTGACTCTGCTTTTCCCCCAAAACTAACTTTCAACCCACTCAGCCTAGCTGGCAGGTTCCAAGTCCTCTCAGACCGTCCAGGCAGAACTCTAGGGGTCTCGGTGTCACCTCAGCTCCTAATTTAGTAGCTCTGAGGACCGTCACCTGGGTTCTTCCTGGAACTTCTCCCACAGAGACAGTATCTGGCTCAGGAATGGCAATGCCTGGGAAGCATGCAGCTGATCTTGGCCCATGCTCAGGACGGAGGTCACTGAGCACTCAAAGCCCAGGCTCATCTTCAGACTAGCACTGTGGGTGAGTGAGGGGGATAGCCTGCCTGTCTGAGCTCTGCCAACAGCCTCAAGAGTTCAGACGGAGAAGGAAGTACAGGGGGCAGAAGGGTCCTGCTCAGTGGTGCTTAGTGAATCCTTCCCATGTGGCAGATGGCCTCAAGGAGAAGTGCCACGTCCGACCACTGTGCCAAGGCCAGTGCCCAAGGGAAGGCACAGGAGGGATGGCAGGACTCCTGCACATAGGTGGGTGCTACTGTCAGCCTGGCCAGAGCTCCAGCTGGGCAGGAGTGCTCCTAAGGCTGGGCCTGTGCCCCTCTTGTCCCTAAGCTGCTTTTGAGGTCCTGCCACTCTGAGCCCATGGCAGAGAGCAGGAGGTGAGAGGAATGAGGAGAGGAGGGGCTCTTCCTGCCCTCTGACTGTGTCTGTCCTCGCTCTTCCTCCTATCTCCAGGTCATGGTGCGCCTCCTTCTCTCTGTGCTGGCTCTGCTGACACAGCCCCAGGGGCACCTGGGAGCAGAAGTGAAGGCTTACTCCCAGAAGACAGTGACCAATGCCTGCACCCTGGTCATGTGTAGCCCTGTGGAGAATGGCCTGCCTGGTCGTGATGGACGAGATGGAAGAGAGGGCCCCCGTGGCGAGAAGGGGGATCCAGGTAGAGCTGGGACTGTGAGCTTGCCCCGGGGTGGGTGGGGTGATCGATGGGGTTGTAACAAACATGGTAACCCCAGGCATCTATTATACAAGGCTTGGAGACAAGTTCTTTCCTTCCAAGGGACTGGAGTGCCTTCACATTCAGGCCACCCGGCATACTGCTCTGCTGCGCGGACGACAGACCTCTCCCCAGGAGCCCTGGGCCTCCTGCCCCAAGAACAATCAAATAGTGGGTGGACATTGAACCCTGACCAGCAGTTGTTAGTTGTTCATTTTGATTAAACGGTGCTGTTCTTAATATTCAATGAAGATTCATTGCATGAAGCGTGGGAGCGAGGTGCTCTGACCCCACGCTCAGGCCTAATCAAATGGCTGCCTAACACTCCCGGAGGAGCTTCTATTTCTTTGTTCATCCTGTGCTTGGGCCGTAACTTGAGTAGCACATTTAATTGTCCCCAAAGTCTGACCAGGAACACGCTGCTCTCTTCTGACAGGTGAGGAAACTGTGATGCACAGATGCTAAATAACAGCGTGGGGCTGGAAAGGCCACGGCCCGACTATGGCTTCAGCTCAGAGCTAATGTCTGATACGTACTCGGGCCAAAGGTTGCATCTTGATAAACAGGAATAATATCCACTACCCTGTAACAAATAGTTGAGCAAAAGGCTTTATTTATTTATTTATGTATTTTTGATTCTTCAGGATCAAGTTGCATTTTACTGGCGTACCACAGGTGAATTCTAAAATTGCCAGAAGTAATGATGTATAAAGACATTTTCTGGGAAATACTGACCACCTTCAGGGGCAGAGGAAGGATCTGGACTTATGGGTGAGAAAGGAGAATTCAATGAACCAAGAGCATGAACTGAGGGACCACCGAGGTGCTGGGCTAGGGCTTCGAAGAGTGAAGTAGTTTCACCTTTCTGGAGTTGGCATGTTTGTTGAGATAGGTGATGATGGCGTGTAAGCTGAAAGGAGTAATGTTCCTAGCATGTGTAGAGTGCGCACCTGTCTGCCCCTGACCAACAGAAAGTGGTTCTAGATGTGAATGGGCAGGGCTCAGGGAGGGCCCCTCGTGAACCAGAGGAGGGACTCAACAAACACACCTCCTCAAGACTTGCAGCTCTCTCTGGCTGCTCGAGGGAGCCTGGATTAAACCTCGGGGGTTGGCGGAGGGCTCCCACAGGGGCCCATGGGGCTCACTGTATGGAGTGTGGCTTGGACCTCTGTGCTCATATAGGCACCTCGCCCTATGCACATCCAGAGCCTGCTGTGGGCTGGCATTTGGACAGAGAGCAACTTGCAGTCGGGCAAGGCTGAGGCTGCCCTACGGCTCCTCAGTGCATCTCTCTAGTCACTTGCCATAAAGGGTCTAAGAATGTCCTGGAACGCATGGACCCTTCTGCACCCTGAGGCCCTGACCAATGGGTCTCTGTGGGGCTGAGGCCTGCCCTTACCTTGGAGATTGTGAAACACACGACCCCAGAACCTGCTGGAAAGGACTATTTGGGCCTAAGAGACGAAACCGCTTGAAAAGGGGTGAAGGTGGATCTGGGTCACTGTGGTGGTGCCCTAGACAGATCATGGCTCACGAGGCCCCTGCCATAGCCTTGGGGAACAACTCCCCTTTCCTCAGCTCCTCCAGAACTCCTGCCCAGAAGGACATAGCGAGGAGTCCCTCAGGGACTCACAGCAGCCCCCAGGCTCTGGATAGCCATGTCCACTCCGCCGTCCTCCTGTTCTCAGGGCCTGCCACTCCCCCGCCCCTCATATTAACCCGCCAGGCCCTGCCCCCTGGGGGCCTTGCCATGTGCTCTCCTGCCCGACACCCCTGTGATCTCCTCTCTCAGGCCTTACTCGCAGGCCACTCTCAGGGTGTCTCAGTGGCACTGGCTCGCTCAAAACATGCAGCTGTACTTCCGACTGCTTATCCCGTTTCTGTGCGCCAGCGTTGAAGCTCCACACAAGGACGTTTCACTAGCACACCCAGTTTTGTGACCACGCTGGGTGTGCAGTGGGTCTCAGCAGGTGTTTACAGGAGGAATGACTGTGAAATGGAGCGATGTGAGATGGTCAGTCGAACCCTGGCCAAAATTATGGGCCATAAACCTTCCCCGGACAGCACCACAGTTGGGGCTAGGTCCTCGGGGAGTCCACAGTGCAGAATTAGCACCCTGGGAGGCAGGAGTGCCACCACCGAGGGGTCACCGCCTCTTCCGTCGAGTGCCTCATGGCCTCTGTGGTGCACACAGGAACTGCCAGCCTCTAACGCCCCTTCTAAAGTGACTTCTTCCCCTCAGCCCATCTGCCTGGCCAGAGTGGGGCCCAAAGAGGCTGAGCCTGGGTCAGGGCATCTCGTGCCTAGCACGCTGCACCGTGGACCGAGGGTGGACCATGCTGTAACCTGTGCTTCTGTCCCCTCCCTAGTGAAGATGGCAGTGGACGCAAGACCCAGTGCCCACAGAGCACGCTCAGCCACCCCACCACAGCCACACTGGCCAGGGCCTGGCGTCTCCTGCCACAGGAGCATGGTTTCCAAGACTGAGATGTCACCTCCCTCTGCAGTCTCTCAACTCTTCTCACCCTTCATGGCCCGCCTCCTCCTCTGGGAAGGGCTCTGGGTGTGTGCTGGGTCAGGGAGGGCCTGCAACGTGAGGGGCACCCCAGGCCATGTCCTCACCTGTCACTCTGGTCTTGCGTCTTTTACAGACCCTTGCAGGCTGGCTCTTTATACTGACGTCTGCGTACCACACAGTGCTAGCCACGAAGCGACACGCAATGGGGTCTTAGTAAGGAGATGAGTAGGCCATGGTCAGTCTCCTGATGCCCTTGGGGAGAGCAGGGCATCTCACCCACTTGTGATGCTGACCGACTGACTGCTGTCTGCACTGTGCACTTGGGGCAGGGATGAACTCTCTGTGGAAGGTCAGGAAGGTCTTAGCTTGAATCTGCCTCCTCCTGTGGGAAGCTGTTTCCTCATCTATAAAGAGAAGACATGAGCACCCATTCCCTGGGTCCCCTGGAACAGGCGTGTGGCTATGGCACGTCTGCTTTAAGCAAGACCCTAAAGAAACGCCTGGGGCCTGACCCCCTAAGGCAGCCAGCCCCTCCTGGCCAAGAACCGAGTCCATGTCTCTTTCTGCTGCTGACACAGGTCTTCCAGGAGCTGTAGGACAAGCTGGGATGCCCGGACTAGCTGGCCTAGTCGGACCCAAAGGGGACAACGGCTCTGCTGGAGAACCGGGACCAAAGGGAGACTCTGGGCCGCGTGGTAAGCTCCTGGGTCTGGAGGTCAGGTCTTGAGTGCTCTTGCTACAGACACTGGTAGATGCACAGAGCCCACCCCCGGGAGAAGGAAGGTCCCTCTGAGGGTGGTGCAGGTCATCTCAGGCAGACGTGGCCTGCTGGGAAGGATGCCACCTCCTCTTTGACCCCTGCTCTTACTGTCCTCCTGCCTCACCTTGCCGAGAAGTCTCCTGCCATGGACTGGGCTGGATCTTTCCCCAGGGCCTCCAGGTCTTCCAGGCGCACCTGGTCCCGCTGGAAGGGAAGGCCCCTCAGGAAAGCAGGGAGACATTGGACCGCAAGGCAAACCAGGCCTGAGAGGAGAGGCGGGGCCCAAAGGTAGGTGGCCAGGGCAGCTACCGAGGAGGGAGACGGGGTCATGCTGGTGTTTGCAGTGTGGCTGAGACAGCTGAGTGCTGGCTGTCAGCACGGTGCAGGCCTTGCAGGCACCTCCACATTCCCACATAGCCAGCCTGTTCTGTCCCCAGCAGAGGAACGGCTATCTCGCCTGGAGTCATGGGTGAAACGCCCACTCCTGAAACATGCCATAAGGCGAGTGCATGCTCAGCTGCCATTGTCACCATTCGTTTCTTCCTCAGGAGAAGTAGGTGACCCAGGCATGCAGGGCTCCACAGGGACAAGAGGTCCCATGGGCCCTAAAGGCGAGAAAGGCGCCCCCGGTGAGCAAGGAGCCACTGGCAGTGCTGGGGCAGCAGGTGAGCGGCGGAAGGGCTGGGCTGGGCTGGGCCACTTCTTTGTCTGCTTGGTGCTGTCTGTCCGTCCCTCCCATCCCTCAAGTCAGAGCTGATGTTGCCGGGAGACACAGCCACGGAGGTGCACACGGGGCTCTGCGGAGTGTCTGTGTCTGGGGAGAGTGCAGGGCTAGGCAGTGGGGACGACTGAGCAGGGAGGTCGGCTGCTGGGTGACAGGGAAGCTCGTACCTGGGGGAGGCAGTGGGGCGGCTGGGTGACAGGGAAGATCGTACCTGGGGGAGGCATGGGGCGGCTGGGGGGCAGGG